CCGTCTGCTGGTAACCCTCACATACCTCTATGGCTTTGTGACAGCAGTTGTGGTTTCCCCTTGTGTATTCTCCATGTCTTATTGCTCTTCCAATGTAATCAATGATTTTTACTGTGATATTGCACCTCTTTTAGCATTGTCCTGCTCTGATATTTATGTACCAGAAACAGTAGTTTTTGTATCTGCAACTACCAATTTGTTTTTTTCCTTAGGTACAGTTCTAGTATCTTATTTCAACATTGTTTTGTCCATCCTAAGAATACGTTCCTCTGAAGGAAGGAGAAAAGCCTTTTCTACTTGTGCTTCCCATATGATGGCTGTCGCTGTTTTCTATGGGACACTGCTATTTATCAATTTGAAGCCTCGAAGAAGTCACTCATTAGATACTGACAGCATCAGTTCTTTATTTTATACCATGGTGATCCCGATGCTAAATCCTATGATCTACAGTCTGAGGAATAAGGATGTGAAGGCTGCCTTAAAGAGATTCATAACACACCCACACTATTTCTTTAAACCAATGTAATATTAAAATATTGAATGTAAATTAAGACATGACCAAGATAGACTGCTCTCATTAGGTTTCAGAAAAGTCTTCGTGCATTTTTGAGGAGAATAACAGAAGAACTAGCAGATGGCATAATGGTTACACCACTAGACTCCCACATAGTCTATCTTGGTTTGAGGCCCAGTCCCAGCAGCTTAAAACTCATGCCTGGCATGTGTGCTTTTATGCCCAAATTCCTGAGGGAGAATGAAAGAGATGGGATTGGGTGGCCATCACCCCGCAGGGGTCATTTCTCCTTTTCTGTCTGTCTGTCACTATTTCTCTGGCAAACATATAGCAATAATCTCTCTTGGAAAAAAAGGAAAGGAAGTCAGAAAAAAAAGTCACATCATTTCCAACAACTGAATATATAAGAAAAAACAAAGTTTATGGTCTGTCAGTTTAAAACTAATTGTGAGAATTAAAAGCAGCCAGTTTTTGAGGAGACTTAAATTAGGAAGCATAAACAAATTTTAGAGCTGTGATGGTAACACCAAAACTATGATATTATTCACCAATTTTAACCAGGAATAATGTGGTAGCCAGGTTGTAAGAGATATTTACAAGAATCAGGAGAGTTATATTAAATTATTTATATAGATTTGAACAGAGCAGAGAGATATGGACAAGAAAAGTTAATTTGCTCCCATGTACACTTTTTTTTATTATTTCTTCTTATGTATGATAAGCTATGGTGTTTCACTACATCCTGAAAACTATAATTACAGTTGGCTTTTTTCCTAATTAAAGATAAGTTTATAAAATCAAGCTGACAATTACATCAAAAATAAAACTCCCCTTGGACAGGTTCCATAGTCTAATGGTAAAAATGTGGATCCCATATGACCTACTGCAGTTCAAAACCTGGTTCCTGTGGCTTGTGATAAATTTGTCTGTGTGTCCCCAAAATACTGACAGATACAGAAATGGAAAAAATACAGCAAGCTACACCATACTAGGAATTGTTCTGTCTCTCTTGCTTGCTCTGTGTTACTCCATATCTCTCTGAAGCAGCATTCACCCTCTGGGTACTAAAATTAAACCCTCTCATTCTTATTATTTGAATGAACAAGTATACACAGTAGATGAATTGATATTCTGAGTGCTGACCTGAATATAATAAAAGTTATTTTATTACAATTTACTTAAATTATATAAATTTTAAATAAATAATTCAGAAGACCATGCTTTTTCTTTTTGGAGAGGTTTTATTTTTGGTATAGGGTGCATGTGCTCACCAGAAAGACAGAGACAGAGAGACAGAAAGCGATAAATCACCCTTCAGGGGGTATGGCCACACCACAATCCCTTCTCCTCCCTTCTCTTCTCAGGATCTGGCCCACTCACGCACATGTGCCCTGAGTGAATTTAAGCCACCGGGTCTGGGACTCAAACCACGGTCGACTATATGGGAGTCCAGCGACATAGCCATTATACTAACTGCTGATCCCAAGAAGACCATCTTAAATACTGTTTCTTGCTAGATTTGATTTCTTAATTTAGTGAACTCTGTGTAAGTTTGTCTTTCTCATTACTGAAGTCTTATTCTATATGTGCATGAATAGTAAATGCAGTAACACTGCTAAGAGTTGAGTTTTTGTCCGTTAGAGGTCTGTCATTGAGGGGACCAGCAGTTGGCGTAGTGGCTATTTCACTGGACTCTCATGTAGTTGACCACAGTTTGAATCCTGGACCCTGTTGCTTAAACTCAGACTGGGCACATGTGCGTGCCCAAGATCCTGAAAGGAGAAGGGATTTTGGTGTGGCCATCCTACATGGGGGGTGATTTTTCGCTTTCTGTCTCTCGATCTCTCTCTGTTTTTCTGGCGAGCGTACACCTCATATAGCAAAAACCTCTACAAAAAAACAAAAACAGAAGAAGAAAAAGTCTGTCAGGCGAGAACTTGTGCTCAAATTCATTGAGTCCTATGGCTTCCACTCACTGCTGCCTACCTGTGACTAGCTTGAAGAGTACACTCAAAGATGTACTAGTGCTCAAACATGCCCAGCCTATACTGCCACTCACTATCAGAGCTTCAAAATGTGTGTAGGCAGATAAGTAGTGATGCAATGTGTGATCCAAACCCTCAGTGGCCATTTTTCCCCAGGATCTGTCAAATTTATATCTAATCATTCAGTCTGCTGCTACCCAATTGTGACTATGATCTCAGATTAGGAGAGCTGTTTTCAGCACTGAAATGGGCTTTCTAACTTTTACTTCAAATCTAGCACTGCCTGAGTGTCTCTTCAGCATTGCTGTTGCTTTTTAATATATATATTATATTAAATTATTATATATATATAAATTATTATATATATATTTAATTTTACTTTAATTTCATCTATACATGCAATCATTGTACATCACTTAACTTGTAAAGTGAATTTTCCGAACATGAATGCACTTCATACCAGTCCAGTTGAGGTTACCATATACCTTATCATCAACAGATACTAATCCATTTCTGTGTCCCATAAATGTCTTGCCTCTCTATTTTTCTCCTTAATGATTTTCCTAAGACTCTTCTCCTTCTCCTACCCTCTTCCCAAAGAATACAAAATTCCAGGTAATAAGGGAAGTAAGTTTTGAGATCTCTTGGGTTTTCAGAAAAGTCATGATGCATTTTTACATAGAAAAACAGAAAAATATGACATGATTTTTCCAGTGATCCAATTTTATACAGGAGGGTATCTATACTTAATAACAATGTATTTATTATATTTTGAAAATTGTTAAGAAGATAGATTTTAAGTGTTCTCACCACAAAAACTAAGTATGTGAGGTAATACATGTGTTAAATAGCTTGATTGAACCATTCCATAGTGTACACACATTACAAAACATCATGTTGTATAAATATATATAATTTTATGTGTTTTTAAAAATGGTATTGAAATAATGTTGATATTAAACATTTTTTTACCAAAAAAAGCATAACAAAGACCACCTTAAGAACCACAATTCTCTGTCTCTGCATTTTTTTTTCCTTCCTTTATTTTGCAATTACCATGAAGTACATAGGCTTTCTTCTTCATTTCTCCAGTTTCTCAAGATTTGGGGCAGGTACACACAGATATCAGGTATATCTTTTAATCCACCGGGCTAGGATCCAAACCAAGGTCAACCATGTGGGATCCAGTTCTTTTGACCACTAGACTATGAGGCTAGCCCTGCATAATTTATTATTTTCATTTCTAGAAAAATTCTTAAATAACATATGGCAGTTTTAATTTTTCCACCATGCCACACATTTTAGAAGACCTCTTGGATGAGTTTGCCCTATTTATACAATATTTTATTCCATGGATATATCCTATAAATACAATAATTTTCAAGATCCTATGTGGTACTAATAGAAATTTAATGAAGAGGAAGACATTGTAAAAAACAACAACAACAAACAAACAGAAAAAAAAGAAAAAAGAAACAAATAATAAAGACCTCTTGATCTGATACTATGCCTTTAGAGACTGAAGTCTTGATCATGAGCCAAACTTTTCCAGGAATCTGAATGCTTTGTCATGAAGTGGGTCTTATCTGCTATAACAAGGCATAAGTTTGGGCTTGCAAAAAATGATGATATCACTGAACGTAAGTGTTAAATACTGAGAAGGTCTGAGCAGACCCATAAGCCTAAGTAGTTGACCTAAAGATTAATGTAAAATTAACCCTACACCTACTCCTGTCACACTGCCTCCTCTCACAGCCCATTTCTTTGGCCTTAATCAGTTTTTTATAGGAAGAGAAGATTCTGGCCCAGTTTACAGATGTTTTTGCATGATAGACAAAAATGAAAGAAGCAAAAGAAAGGATGAGAGAAAGACTCCCCTCAGAATTAATTCAATTGACACAGTGATATTCTGCTGACCTATTTAGTCTAGTTATCCTTTTTGAGAAGAAATAGAGGATTGTTATAAGTTTTCATTTAGAATCATCCAAACAAAATGAAATATTTATAGACAGGATGAAATTATTCATAATAGGGAATAAAGTCATAATTCCCATATATGATACTAAAACTAATCAATGGTAGAATCTACTGTGTCCCAAAAGAAGCTATCTATAGACTGCATAAACTGTAATGTATACACTGAAGCTTTTTTGTTTTGTTTTGTTTTGTTTTTCTTTTGAGAGGTTATTGCTATAGTGTGCATGCAATGGTCCCTAGATTGAAGTTTTGATAGAAGCACCAATATTTGGAACATATCAGTTGATAACAAAGTTTTATAGGGATTAAAAGAGAAATATTATAATGGCATTACTTTTTAAAAATACACCTTTATTCTTGTCTGATATCTGTTGCATAATTTTGATATTCATTTATTTATATTTTATTTAATAATTTCTTATTTATATTTATTTGCTGTACATTTTTGTGGGGCACATCATGAATTTTCTAATTCTGCATGCATTGGGACCAGCAGTGGGCCTAATGGCTATGTCATTGATCTCCCATGTAGTCAACCACGGTTCGAGTCCCAGACCTGGTAGCTTAAACTCATGCCAGGTCCATGTGCATGCATGCCCAAGATCCTGAGAAAAGATCTTGAAGGCACACACTCCCTACAAAAATCTCTTCCCAAAAAAAGAAAAGATGCATGCAATGTACAACCATCAAATCAAGAATAATATCATCTTCATTATTTTCAATAAAGAACTCATTATTTTCAATAAAGAATTCATATATATATATTATATACATAAGGATAATTGCCATGTCATTTTCTCATATATATCAAATATCCTCGTTCTATCGTAAAAATTGAAAGATTTGAAGAGTAGTCATGGGAAAGGAAACTACACATACCAGAGACTACATGGGAGTTGGGAAGTGAGTGAGTAGAAGGAGATTAGAAAAAAGCATTCAACAAACACAGAAATGCAGGTAGACTGGGCAACTGGATTGTGGAACATCATGCCAGAACTGAGTTAATTTTGATATTTTTAAAGATATAGATGGAGATATTATGAAGCTAATAAAGCTCAAGCTTTAGGATCTATTAAACCAAACTATGTGGTCCTGACATGGCTGCTGTGCTCTCACACTCAGGTTTCTATGATTATCCACAAAGTGAGCCATGTGGAATCCAGCTGCCTTAAGCTCCACGTTACCTGCTAGCCCAAGGTCATAATTTTTAAAGTATTAATAATTGTCTCACCTTAATATGCCCTCTACCTCTTACTCTGTTTATATTTAATCTGTGAATTATGAGGGATATTCAGATACACTTTATTAGATTCCATACATATTTGTGTGCATTATGAACTACATCATAGCTAGATAAAAACATCGCTGTAGCCTAAAGGCACATAAGGATTTAAAGTACTCCCAGGAAAACATATTTATATCATCTGTAGTTTTATTTTGTCTATATGGAATCATGTAACAATGTGATTTTAACCCTTGTTTTGTTTTGTTTTACCCTGATTTGTAATATCCTTTTATTTTAGAGGAAATTTTCCTTGAAATTTTATTATAAAAGCAGTATCAGGGATCTCTCATCAAGTTTGCTCCGACTTCCTCATAGTTCACTAAGATCTTGTCCAATAAAGTTCATTTAACTTCTTACATGTATGTCAGTATCTCTCAATTAAATAAAAATGCCATTAAAGGAAGATTGATATTTCAAGCAAATGTAGTCAAAACTAACTTAGATTAAAATATTTATAAAAGTAGAAGATAAATTATTCAAAACAATAGCACATTGATTAGAACATTTTTGTGAGGATGTAGGGGTGGAGAGGCAGGTAAGGCCTGAGACCAGCTGCACATATTACATATTAGATCATCTGCTTCTCAGCTCTGCATTGTTATAATCCTACAAAGAATCCCTTTTGTAATGCAGAAGAATTCAGAAGTACATATGTAAAGAAAAACTCTGTCATTAAGGTAACATCACAAGTATAAAAAAGAAAAAACAAAAATGAAAGCAAACAAAAAACCAATATGTACTTAATATTCTTGAAGTCTTTTCTCTAGTGTGTGTGTGTGTGTGTGTGTGTGTGTGTGTGTGCATGTATATTTACAAAAGAATAATTTTATTTAACTTTATTTATTTATTTATTTACTTATTTTAATTTGACCAGAGAGGGACAGAGCAAGAGAGAGAGAGGAAAAATGAGAAAAATGAGAAAGCAAGCTGCCAGTTGTGGTACTTGAACCACGGTAGGTCATGTGGGAGTCCATTATGGTGCCCTCAGCCACCATAATACCTGCTAGCCACTATATATTGATATTTCTAAAGCAACCTTGAAAATAAATATCTTATTTGAGTAGAAAATGAAAAGTTTTACATAGCTTACACTATTTTTCCAAAGTAAATTTTGAATATGTTATAATTAAGATATGCCATGAAATATATACATACAAATATCCCCTGTACTTTTTATCTTATGTCTATAAATAAGTGGCATTGTAATCTGCTATGCTATTTTTATTTATCTCCTGTCCAATGTTTTCAAGTGTATTAAGCTTTCATCTGCAGCACTCCTACAGTTAAAGATTTTCAGAGAAAACATAAAATGTCTTTAGATGTTGAAAAGTGATGTATGCAAATGAAATGATTGAGATCTATTGACAAGTTTATCTCTATATCTAAATCATCTCACACATATTTTTGAGAGGAAACATATTTTAAAAATCATAGTTTAGATAGCTTGGATATATCTTAGTTGTGATTGCATTATAAACCAAAATAAAAATCTTTCAGATATTACTACATAAACCCTACTGCCTATGCTGATGTCTATATGCAGAGCAGGCTTTCTGATAAACCAGGATGGAAACACTCATCCTAATAGGGGTGGGTGAAATCATTTCCCAGGAACCACGGACCATCCAGAACTAGTCAAGGATTATAATCTTCCAACAAAGAAAAGCCCTGGCCCTGATGGCTTCACCTCTGAATTCTATAAAACTTTCAACGAAGAGTTAACCCCTATTCTGCTCAAGTTATTTGTGAAATTCCAAAGGGTGAATCTCTCCCTAATTCATTCTAAGAAGGCTCTATCACCCTTATCCTTAAATCAGATAAGGACAGAACATGGAAGGAAAACTAGAGACAATATCTCTGATGAATATAGATACAAGGATTCTCAACAAGATATTAGCCAATCATATCCAATAACTTATAAAAAAAGATTATACATTATGATCAGGTAGGCTTTATTCCAGGAATGCAAGGTTGGTTCAACATATGCAAAACCATAAATGTGATACCTCATATTAACAGGAAGAAAGATAAAAACCATATAGTCATATCGATTGATGCAGAAAAAGCATTTCATAAGATACAACATCCCTTCCTGATCAAGACTCTCAGCAAAATTGACAAAGAAGGGTCATTTTTCAAAACAATAAAAGCTATCTATGAAAAATCCATAGTGAACGTCATCCTAAATGGATAAAAGCTGAAAGTTTTCCCACTGAAAATGGGTACAAGACAAGGATGCCCACTTTCTCCACTTCTTTTCACTATAGTACTGGAAGTCCTCGCCAATGCAATCAGAAAAGAGGAAAAAATAAAAGGTATTCAAATAGGAAAAGAAGAGGTGAAACTCTTTATATTTGCAGGTGACATGATTGTGTACATAGAAAACCCAATGGTTTCCATGAAAAAATTTCTGAAAGTAATGCATGAATACAGTAAAGTTGCAGGATACAAAATTAATTACAGAAATCTATAGTATTTCTATATATGAAAAACAGGCAGATTGAGATAGAACTGAAAAAAGTTATTCCATTTACCATAGCCACAAAAAGTATCAGATACTTAGAAATAAATCTAACAAAGAAGTTAAAGACCTCTACAAGGAAAACTATGAGAAGCTAAAAAAGAAATTGAAAATGACACAAAAAAGTGGAAGGACATCCCATGTTCCTGGAATGGAAGAATTAATATAATCAAAATGGCAATTCTACCAAAAGTAATCTACCTATTTAATGTAATGCCAATCAAAGTACCAGAGACATTCTTCACAAATCTATAAAAGACAATCACAAAATTTGTCTGGAATCATAAAAGGCCCTGTATTGCGCAAAACAATTCTACAAAAGAAGAGTGGAGTGGGTGGCATCTCACTCCCTGACCCAAAAATATACTACAAAACTGTGGTAATCAAAGCAGCATGGTACTGGCACAGAAACAGACACGTGGACCGATGGAACAGAATACAGTCTCCAGAAATAAATTCTCAAACATACAGTCAACTGATTTTTGACAAGGGTACCTGTCAATCCAGTGGGAAAAAGAAAATCTCTTTAGCAAATGGTGCTGGAAAAAAATGGATTTCCACTGCAGAAAAATAAATCTGAACCCCTACCTCTCACCTTTGACAAAAATCAAGTCAAGGTGGAACAAGGATCTAAATCTAAGACCTCAAACTATAAAACTGTTCCTGGAAAACACTGGGGAAACTCTGGGAGAATGGAGAAGGAGGGATTGCAGCATGGCCCCATCCCCCCTGGGGGGTGATTTCTTGCTTTCTGTCTCTCTGTCTCCCTCTGTCTGTCTGGCGAGCACATGCACCCTATAGCAAAAACCTCTCAAAAAAAAAAAAAAAGGTCATTAAAAGCTGAACCATCATAACTATTATGCAAACCCTGGAATGAATCTTCCACTTGGTTATGTGGATAAGCAATTCAGATGCTCAGGGAATCAAAGGGTAGAACACTTTCCTATTGATGAGCTTTCTCAAGGCACCTTTCATATCCTTGTTCTTTAGGCTATAGATGAAAGGGTTCATCATGGGTGTCACCACAGTGAATAGTACTGCACCAATCTTATCTGTGTTGTCAGGGTGAGTGGATGAGGGAATGAAGTAAACCCCTACAATAGTCCCATAGAAAAGTAATACAACTGTCAGGTGAGAGCCACAAGTGGAGAAGGCTTTCCACTTTCCCTCCTTGGATGAGATTCTCAGAACAGCTCTGACAATGCAGATATAAGAGAAGAGGATGAGGGCAAAGGGAAAAGTGATAACTGATAAACCCAGGATAAATAACATAAGTTCATTGATCATTGTGTCTGAGCAGGACAGTTTGAGCAGAGGGGCCAAGTCACAGAAGAAGTGTTGAAGAGTATTCTTATCACAGAAGAGCAATTGAATGAGCAGAAGGGTGTGTGTCAGGGCAACGATGTTACTGAGAACCCATGGGATGACTGTGAGCAAAATGCAGAGCCTGGGCTTCATGATAGTCATATAGTTCAGAGGGTGGCAGATGGCCACAAAGCGGTCATAGGCCATGACTCCCAAGAGGAAATTGTCAATGACGACAAATACAATAGAAAAGTACATCTGTGTAATGCAGCTCTCATAAGTGATGGATTGACTATTGGTCTGAATGTTCATAAGCATTTTGGGAACAGAGGTGGAAATGGAGGAAATATCAGCAAAGGACAGGTTGGCAAGGAAGAGATACATAGGAGTGTGAAGATGAGTATCCAAGCTGATGGCCAAGATGATGAGTCCATTCCCAACCACTGTGACCAGGTACATACCCAGGAAAAGCACAAAGAGGAGTTTTTGCTGCTCAGCCTGGTCGGAGAGTCCCAGGAGGATGAATTTAGAGATGGTGGTTTGGTTTCCTTGATGCATATTTCTGCTAATCTGAAGAAAGGAACAAAATGTGTCATATACCCCGCACAAAGAATCCAATATGGAACCATTCTGCTGCAGAGACACACTTCCTTTAGGCTCAAAGTGAATAAAGGTCCTTCTATTTATTAAGTAGAAGACTTAGGAAATGCCTTTAAAGAAGATCAGGATATAATAAATACTTCTCAGTGAATATTATTTAAACTCAGATGGGATGCTGGATGTGATTTTCCTGTTGGTTACAAATGTAGCTTAAAGCTCTCAAATTTCTATCCATGTGCAGGCTATACCACACATCCAAATACCAGAAATCCAGACAGGAATTGCTAAAAACAGTGAACAACTGGCTCCAAGAACTTTTCCACTGTTCACCAAAGAAGGTTTTGTATTAGTAATACTTAGGGAATACACTGTTGTATGGATGTTACTTCCCACTAAAGGTAGGGAAGGACTCTAAAATAACCCAATTTTGGAGACTGAATACAAGGAGGGGTGATCAGATTTTAATTCATTTATGGCTAGATGTTAAGACAATTTAGGGGACATGTATAAACCTAAAATTTATGTTTGCCTCTCACCTCTACAGTTGGGAGTTTACTGTATCAGCCCACAATGGCAGGGGTAAGAGAAAAAGATGCTGGCTAGTAAGCAATTAGGCAATTTTACCCACGCATGTCATGAGTACATGAATTGCCTATAGGGCAAGTGAATGCTGTAGGAAGTTGTTGGACTCAAGTCATCTTTTTGGGATTCTAGTCAAGAAACAGCCTGCAGAGGTGGAAGGTTGTAGGAGAATGGCATTATGGGCTGGCTCTCATGGAAGAGATAATCTTAAAGATATTAGGTAGAAATTTCATTGCCCTTGTTAGGGAACTGAATAATAGAAATTCAAAGGAAATATGCTTTGAATTGGGTTTAAAATTAAAGTTTTAAATTGGAATGAATTTGGCTGGTCATGGCTTTTTGATACATGGAAATGTATTTTCAGTACTAAAGTAAAATTTATGTAAAGCTGTAAATGACCAGAAACCATAGGGACATCTCAAAGCCCAGCTAGGAACAGGGAAGGAAGATTGAACCTTGTGATTTATTGGATAGAATCAGCTTGAGAGCCAAGAGATGTTGACTCTTGTCTTTCTACTCTCCATATAGTCTCATTTTTTTTCCTTCTCTCTTCCACTCATCTCTAGAATCACTTGTTTCTCAACGGCTTTCTCTCCATGAAGAGGACAGAAAACAGTTAACTTCTACCTCCAGGATTCTGACAAACTGAAGCCAGTAGAGGCTGGAGCAGAAGCTCTGAGTTCTTTTCACTCCTGAAAATCTTGGCTCAATATCAGAGAGGAGGGAAACATTTGTAGAAGAGAGATTCTACAACGCAACAAAAATGAGGTAAAGAACAGGCATGTATTTGTACTTAATACAGAGCAGCTTTAGAGGGTTCTGTGGTTACTAAGCTCTGGGATAGTTTGGGTTTGACTGGAAAGTGGAGTTACACATTTTTGAATGACAATCTGTAATCCCACCTTTCTGTTTTATCTTTCCCACTCACCACACATACTGTTCAGCGTCTCTGAGGTGGGCAGCCTAGCTGATTAAGATCAGGGTTAAATTCTGAAAAGCCTTACCTCTAAATTATGGTGAAATCTCAGGAAGTTAGACCCAGTGGAACTTTTTGTACTTAGCAGTGTAGCAGGTGAAGGTTGGGAGCAGTTCGTATGTGTTTTTCAGAAGTGGACTCTTCCTCCAAGCATCAGAGTTAATAGATTCATAGTACTGGGCTCACATGGGATTTTCAGCTCCTTTTAAGTCTTTTGGGATAACGTCCTCAAAGTGTTTTCCTCAAGATAAACAGTAATTTTTACATTTCAGTATTGATGAGGTAAATGGGGAATAAACAGGTAACTGCTTTTTTTTCCCCCTTCAGATTGTCTTCCTATTTGTGATTTCTTATTGTAATTTGGCTATAGCTCTTCATAACAAGTGAACTCATTGGTCTGTGTGTCTTATGCTTCCATGGACAAGGGAAATATTTTAAAAGTTCTTGCTCTGTTTCCTTTCTAGTGCCTATTACAGGGGAAAACTTAGCAAATACTTAGAGAATTGAGTTGAATTCCTTCACGAGAGATTACAACTCTAATGGTGTGCTATCTCCAGTAGGAGAGCATAGGCTATGACCCTGGAACCATTTGAATAAACATCAGCATTGGAAAGGAATGTGGAGACAGTGATTCAGTGCTCAAGGCTCTTACCTGCAAACTAAGGAAATAAACTCTGAACTCTTGATATTGAAAAGAAACATAGTGACGTGATATTAAGTGGTTTACAATGCACTGGAGAGAATGAAAAGAAAACAAACCCTCAAATGGATAGGAGCAAGGGAGGCTGCACAGTTATAAATAGAGCCAAAATCAAATAGTCTATTTCTCAATGCTTGCACATACCTCATAATATAAGGCCATTCGCATCCTTCTCACCAAGAAACAACTCAACTTATGGAGTAACTGTATTTACGGCATGTTTTAAATAGTCTGTGGCCATGACTAACATTGAAAATAACCAAAGTAATAGAAAAGAAAGAGAAGGTAAGTAAATTATTATTCTTTTTTTAAAAATAGATCTTTACATTTTTTTTAAGTGTGAACATTTTTCTTTAATGTGGTGAGTTCCATCAAATATAACCATTTAGAATAGCTTTTTCCTATGCCATATGATCATATTTACTAGTATAACAAATAACATTATAGACATTATTTTGAATGTACTGTGGCTAATAAGCATAATTTTATATAAGAATTAGGTTGTCTGTATTATTAATGTTAATATTTTCAGGAAGTACTTATGAAACAAGCTTCTTACCCCAAAATCTTACTTTTTATTTGTTGAATTTGCTATGAGTGTGTGTACTTCCTGGAGATGAGAGAGTGAGAGAGAGAGAAAGAGAAAGAGAGAGCTAGAAAAAGAGTAAGCACCTCCATGCTCCCACCCCAAGGGGGATGGCCAGGCTACAATCCCTTCATTTTCCTGTTGGGATTGTGACTTTGCACATCCATGTGCTCAGAATGCTTTTTAAGACACTGAGTCTAGTACTTCAATCACATAGTTGGCCATGTGGCATCTAGTTGCCTTAACTATCACACCACAGCCTGGCCCCATAAGTTTCATTTTTATCCCTCTTCCTGTCTCATTAGCAGGTAACCTTGCATGAGCCAAGCTATTGGAACATTGGCTCCATGTCCATAAAATGAAGGCATTGTAACCTATCCTATCTACCTCACAGAGTTTATGCACGGATCAGCAAGGTCAGTAAACATTGAAATATTTTGGCAAATATGAGATATCATAAAATGACAATTATAGATAATTTACTAAACTTAACCACCAAAATAATATTCATGCCTATACCTAAAAGGTTTTAATCAAAGTAGCTTATCATATAATAGTCAGTTAAGCAAATGAAGACTACATTACATACACTATTTTTCTAGCCTACTCTATTGAGTCTAGTTTTTGGAAAGACTTAATTTAAGAGAAAAAAATGTGGGCTAAGATATTTGTTAGTGTTTATACAAACAGACTGCTACCATTAATTTAAAAATAGGAGTTTTTCCCCCATAAAAATAGTTCATTATTTAATTTTTTTAAAAAAGTTTTTGATATAGGACATGTGTGCTCCCTGGAGAGAGAGAGAGAGAGAGAGAGAGAGAGAGAGAAACTGAGAAAATCACGTTGGGGGGCAGATGGTCATGCTGCAGTTTCTTCTCCTCTATTCTTCTCTTGGGATTTTGGGTACACATGCACACGTGCCCAGTGATTTTCTCAAGCTGCAAGTCTGGGACTCCAACCATGAAGTTGGCTTTGTGGGATCCAACTGCCTTAACTACCTGGATGGCCCAAGTGCATTCTTTAATAGGGATAAAGATGAATAAGAATTCCATTCATGTAAACATTAGCATAAGCAAGAAAGGAATATTATACATTATATGGATCATTCAGATGATTCAACTGAGTTAGTCATACAACCAAATACTTATTCTTCATATTGATTATAAATGCTGTAGTCAGTTCAACATATATTAACAATGAGACAGCTTTAACATTTAGAAATGTGAAGCATGTGTGATTGTTTCCAAAGGGATATGTGATGTAGCCTTCATTTCAAAGAGTTTGAATTGATTGAATTACTGTCTGGTATATATTTTTATTTTTGAACTAATAATTCCATGGCCTCATCAAGCCCAGTGCCTTTAGTGGCTAACGTTTTGAATATTTGCCACTTTTGGTCCTTCAGGGATGGCAGCCCAAGTGAATTTGCCATCTCTGAAAGAGTCAAGGTCATTTCAATGTTCTGTTTGCAAACTCTACAAAAATGGTTTTTCTGAGATCTTTTTCCTCCAACACAGCAGCTAATTAGGCCTGGAAATGCTAGTTTGATCTCAGGTACAAATGTCTACTATATAAATAACTGCACCTCTGTCTGGATAATATTTCACTATGACCTGATATTTGTCTGTTCTTCTAGATCCCAGACTTGGAATTTAAGGTTTTTGCATCTTACTATCTCAACATTAAATCCAATAGTAGGACTTCTCCAACTTGTAATCTGTACAAAGTTGTGCTTTTTCCCACTCCCTCTAGTCCTAAAACCAAAATCCTTGTTTCCCAGCTCTAAACAGTGTGGAAAAAGTACTACAGAAAAAGACACCCATGATGAAATGCCTGTCTGCCCTTACTGATCCTGACAGGCCCTAACCTCAGCTGCTTCTCCTGTATGAATCTGGGCACTTCCACTTCCACTCCTCTTGGCTCCAGCTCCAGAGCAAAGCAGTTTCCTTGCCAGCCAGGTTAGCCAGCAAGGTCTACGTCAGACTCCTGGGTTCCAGGAAGGGGTGATAAGTTGTTACTTCTATTATTTATTTATAAAACTAATTGCAGCTAGCAAGGAAAAGAGGGAGAAATCAGAAACATTTTTTTTTTCTGTAACTTGTTCTTCTTATATTATAATCTTTGTGTGGACCTTCTTGGAA